CGGCCGCTGACACGGAGAGCTTCGAAAAAAGCTCATTTTCTGCCATCTTCATGCGCAGGAAAGTCTAGATATGGCTTCAGCATAGCGAAAAAGCTCCGAAAAGCTGAAAAACCGGAATGCGAATTTTTAGAGGTCACTGCCTTTAATACTAGCAAGCCTGGATCAGCTATACATATAGCTTTGCTGCTGATGTGAGATTAGGTAGGTGCTGCAAGTATCAGTGCAATTCGACTGTTTGCTTCAAAAGCTTACAGGCAAATCACTGGATCAGCTGTAGTTAGTTGCTTTGCTGCTGATGTGAGACTAGGCAGGTGCTGCAAGTATTAGTGAGTTTGATTGTTTGCTTCAAAAGCTTACAGGCAAATCAAACTATCTCATATTCATGGGAAATTACATGATAGTCTTTTGGGAGGGGCACATACCTGGACGGCTTCCAAAATAAAAAGTATTGGCTACCTATAGTACGGCCCTGACTGTGTCTGTGCATCAGGGAATATTAAGTTCATAAACAAGCGTAGAAGCTTTGACACTACTACTTAGGAACCTTTCTTCAATAAAAGTGTGACATTGCAGCAAAATACTGACAAATCGTCGAGGTCGCAGTGGTTGAGATATGGACTCTACTTAGAAAACCCGATCAACACTTGATATTGCATTGTGGTATATCAAGGTAGATTGTTTTACTCTTGCGCCACGAAGTTGTAAAACGATACACAATCAAGAGATTTGCATCTTAGCCCATAGAAGGTTGATTTATTTCCTCACACGCAAAGGTTTATAGCAATCGTAAGCTGCACCTTACATGTAATTATTATTAATATCAATCTGACCTTTCACATTCTTCTTCATTCAGTAATTGTGAGAACACAAGAGACAGTGTGCAGAATCACTTCTGTTTCGCCGCTAATCTCTGCTCATTTACTTGTTACGTCGTCATTGATGGCTCATCATATAAGTATATGGTCAACCATCGCGTTGCCGAAAACTTTTTTGATTAGAAATCTCATTGAAAACAGACCATTTTGCTTGAAGACTGGACATTCTTTGGCGAATTTAAGGTCTTTGTGAGCAATATTGAGTAGGTATATAAGTCCAGGAAATGAGGTGTGTACAAGGATTTGAAGTGTTTCCGATCCAGCGTAGATGGCGTCCCTCAAGTTTCTCTTGATAACTCTGCTCGCTTTCATGTTTATCTGCGGCACATCTGGTAAGGTCCAAATTCAATTTGCTCTTACTCGTTAGTACTGGTATTTTTCAACAGTGCAAGGCATGAGGCACGGACATCATCCAGGAAGGCCAGGACCAGGCCATCGTCGACCAGGTCCAGGTCATCGCCCGGGACCACACATTCGTGGGCCAAAGCACCATGGCCGCCGTCACCGTTTCTAAGCAAAACATCTAGTCGCGGTACATCTACTAGCATCTTGGTTGTGTAAAGTCTTCGTCGATAAAAGCGAAATGATAGGCGTAGCATGACCATTGTGATTCAAGGCAATGCTTTCGTGATGTGCTTTGTTCGCGGTATAAAACTGTTGCAAAAATGTGTCAAAATCTGTCTGCCCTTTTCAAACTCAGGATTGGCCACAGGTAGAATTGATGCACCTTGTACTTCGTCTTAAAGCATACTGCGTAGGTTTAGAAGATCTTACCCTCTGATTAAAGGCAGTGGCTCGGCAAATCTTAACCTAGAGAAA